TCTCTCTCTCTCTCTCTCTCTCTCTCTCTCTCTCTCTCTCTCATAATTTGGAAAGCTTAATAAGCCAGAGCCTCCAGCCATGTCAGCCATTTCAACATGTGCATCATGTGACATCCCCAAGTTCAGGTGCAGAACTCAGGCTGTGCTTAAGACTGCAGACACGGAGTTGGGGTACAGTTTCCCCAACACAGTAGCCAATGCTGCATAAGCGAGTGGCAAATGCTCTAGACCATAACTGAAAGGTGGTGGTAGGAGTAGTCCTGAGCTGCTGAGGTTGTTTGGGGAATGAAAGAGGACACCTCCGGAGTGGCCCTCGTGCACAGTGCGCCACAAGTGCTCAGGGACAGCAAAGACTGCCATCACTGTTAGCATCATCGCAGTTTTCACCTCACAGGGAGAAAGGCTCAGCCTCCGCCATCAGATCTTCTGATTATCCATGTGGCGAGAGTGCTGAGGAGGAATGCCCTGCACTGACCGGCGGCCGAGCTCCGCCTGTCCTGTTACGTGTCTGTCTTAGTTTTCTGTCCCTGGGGGATATAATGCTTCCCACGGTCTCCCTTTCCTCACTGAAGCTTTCTGCTTGATGCTAGTGGACGTGGACACATGTGAGTGGGTTGCAACCTATTAGGAGAGATAAGCCCCATTCTCGAGCAATTACGACAGGTCAGGCAGTGACAGACAAGAACAGACAAGACCTTGAGTGAAGCCTGGGTGGGGGAAATGTGCTTTAATCATTCTCTGGGAAGAATCAACCATCTAAAGACAATTCCTCACCCAAGCATAAATAACCCAGGCATATAATTCAACTTGCTTTTACCCCTACACAAAACACTAAGTTCATGGGACAGAATTAGGTATTTTAGAAAAGTAGAAATAAACTTTTAGTGTTTCCTCCTTTTCCTTGGCTCTGGGTACTGGTGGGGACAGAATCCATGAAAGCTGCTGTCGGGAGCCACAATGTTAGGTGACCATATCAGCCTCGTCATGCAGCTTGCTTCAGGGGTGGAGACAGTGGACTAGGATCTTCAGAGGTGGATGAGTGGCCTCACAGCAGCCCGGAGCCATGCGAGGAGGGTGCAGGTAGGGCCCTGGTAACCTTAGCACTCCTCTACACAAACTCCTTTTGGAATTCCACAGGCTCACCCAGAGTAACTGAGTAACAGCAAGGAACTGGGTCAGGCTCCAGGAGGAAAATTCTGTGCTGGTGCCCACAGAGGTATCTGTGGGTCTTGGCACAGCTGTGCTCTGAGAGGCTGATCCAGGAGGGTACAGCTTAATGTGTGCACCTTTTACCCCACAAACAAACCTCCTCCCTCCAGTGTCTGAGGCCTGCTGGGCTGCGAGGCCCACAAGGGGCAAAGAACACAGCAACCTGCTGCCTTTTGCCCAGAGCTTCTAGAACACACAGTCTCCGGGCCAAGTCTCTCCACATGAAGCCCTCTTGACATCCTGCTTCCTGGGATCAAGTCCCTACTCTCCCTAGGCGACAAGAACTCACATGGCTTGACCCTGCACCTTCTGGGGGATGCCTCTCACAATAACAATCTAATAATGGCAGGTGGGCAGGGTGACCACCTGCCATTCCTCGGGGCAGCCAGTTCTTTCCCATCACGAGGCCTCCTCAGGTCCCCTCTACCTCACAGTTACCAGTAGTAGTGAGGCTTTGAAGAATGAGGCCTACAGGAAGGACTTGGAGACAGGATGTCCTCATGGACCTTTGGGAGCTTTGTATGTTCCCACAGTATCTGTTTGAGGAGGCAGTGCTCAAACTGAACCCAAGGTTTCTGTACTGAGCTATATTCCCAGAAGCCACCCATCTTCTATTATTTTTTTTATTCTTTTTGAAACAGAGTTTTGCTATGTAGTTCAGGCTGCCTCATTTTGTAGCTCAGGCTAAGCTTGAAATCATAGCCATTCTCCTGCCTCAGCCTCCTGAGTTCTGGGATTACAAACATGTACCTCCACATGTGGCAAAAGCAAGCAATTAATTATTTGAGACAGTCTCTAAATTGTTAGGTTGCCTGGCTAAACTCCAACTTTCAGTCTTCCTGCCTCAGCTTGCTGGAGTGCATATGCCACCATGCTTGACTCTATTTTAACCAGTTCTCTTGGAACAGATGGTCAGGCAAGACAAACACCACTATGTCTACTTAAAGCCTACCTCTGGGCAAACATCAAGGACAGTGAGGGTGAACCTGTTAGAGCTTTCAATGATAACAGCCCCCGGAGCATGCATGCTAGAGGTTCGTTACCATGGTTAGACCAAATTACTGAGATGAAAGAACCTGTCACCTGTTATTAGGGCCTCAGCTGCTTGGTAGGACTTTTTTTTTTTTTTTTTTTTTTTTTTGCAGAACGGGGGATTGAACTCAGGCCCTGCGCTTGCCAGGGAAGCACTTATTACACTGAGCCATCTTCCTGGCCCTGGACTTTGTTTTTTCTGAAGCACAATAAGTTTTGGAGGAAATAATATTGATAATATTCAGAAAACTAATATATAGTTTTCGAATAATGACAGTATTTGGGGAAAGAGTGTTTGAATTAAAAAGACAACATCCCACTTGAATCTCTTTTGTGTCCCTACATAATTAAAGAAGAATCACAAAGTAGGGCTGGTCAAATAGCTCAGCAGATTAAAGTGCCTGCAAGCAGGCGCAGGGGCCAGGGGTTCAATCCTCTGGTCTGCTGTGCCAACCCCACCCCCGAGGTACACTGAGATGGCAATTGAGACTGGGCGAGGTGGCACGCACCTGTAATCCCAGCTCTTGGAAGGCTGTAAGCAGGTGGATCACTATAAGTCTGATCTAATAGTGAGACCCTGAACACCCTTTAGACCCTTCCCTAAAATAAACAAAACAAGCACAAAGTATACTTCTGCTAAAAAAAATAAATAAATAAACTGAGGCTATTCCTAGAATTCACCTTTCTATCAAAGAGCTTCTTGATAAACCAAAAACAAAAAAAGTTCCCTCTCTACCACATCTTATCCTAAACCCAGTCCCAGTGCCCACTGGTTCCTCACACACTGCGATGTCCCTATTCTGGGCAACATCAGCATCTTCCTTAATGAGCAGAGACCAGAAGCACACACCACATTCCAGCTGTGACGGGCCTGGGCTTCTACCTCCTTATCCTACCACTACACTTCCATTAACCATCACTGAGAGTTATCTCTGTCAGAACTTGGGCTTTCTTACTGTTTTTCTCTATCTCCAGCTCCCAGAACTGCACCTGGTACATACTATGTGTTATAAAAACAGGCATTTGTCAAATTAGTAGTGAAAGCTGAAGTCTTTGGGCAGTTTCTACAGGAGCCTGTGTCAAAGCAGATTGTCCATCCTCTACATATGCAACTGATTTTTCATGCTAAGAAGTGGCCACTACATTGACTTCAGGTAGCCCTGTCCTTTAGATTGGGCCCTTGTACCAGGCTTTTGGGGTTGTTTGCATCTTGGCCTTGGATGCAGCATGTTAGCTGTCCTCCTTTGGATCATTCTGAGCACTGGATTCTTCCTCAAGTTAGGGAAGGAGTAGAATAGGACCCCAAGGATATCTCTATAAAGAATAGGAGGTACAAGAGTGCTGTCATCCACAAGGACGTGAGGAGCACCTTGCTTGGAGACAGGAAAAGAAAACTGGCACCTGGAGATAGGCATGCTGGGCCTGGAAGGATGAGCAGAGCTGTCTACAGGTTTAGGGGGGAAGGGACACAGCAGGGGATGGAGAGAGGTCCAGGTTCAGAGCTAATGCAGACTCTACTGAGGTAATACTGATGTTACTAACACCACAAACAAATGTTCTTAAATGTCTCCTGAGGGTTATGCATGAAATGCTGTAATTTTTATATGCTTAATTTCATTTAACCTACAAATAGCCCTATTCTTCAGGGTAGGAATGAGCATGCTTGGGGACATCAAGGCCCAGAGAGATCCATTTGCTTGCATCTCCCTAGCTCATAGGTAGCTGGGCCTCACTTTGAACACAAGGCTGCTGACTCTAACAGCCCTGCTAAGACCACAAGTTGCCGCGTAGAGGAAGAGCCAGAAGGGCGGCTTCCGGGAGGGGGGGGGTGATCAACTGGTCTACAACTATGGATGTGGGTATAGGCGCATCTGGCCTTTATTCTGGGATAGTTTGGGGGAATGGAGTATGCATTTAAGCTAATCCCTTTGGCTATATGGAGAAGAATAGAGGAGACAAAGCCTAGGGAGCCCTGCTGAGTCCAGGAGTGACAGGATCTGGTCTTGTTTGAGACAAGGTAGCAAAAGGTAATCCAAGGGAGCATGGACCTAGTGAGAAGAAATGACTGAGGGGAAGGAAAGATGCAAAGTGGCTCTGGAACTTGCCAAATGGAGAAGGGCAGGATAGGAGGGGCAGTCCTAGCCTTGAGGAAGCAAACTGCGGTGATCACAGATGTGGGGCCTGGCCAGGCCCAACCAAGCACCAGCTATGTGAGCCTCTGCCTGGCTGTGAAACTCTGTCTCTCTTACCTCATCGCTACCTGAGGTGAGAACCAGGCAAGACAGAGCCAGTGAAGCATGAGCAGGTGATGCCTGCTCTTGGTAACTGCTAGCTTTTCAGGCTCCCAATTGCCTTTTTAGGGGGTCACGGTCTCACATATCTGAGCCATCACACTAGGCAAATCCACAAGTCAGCTATGGGCTTACTTTAAGGCCTTCTTGTTGGTAACTCTGAGATATACAGTCCAGGACACCTTTGTATTTGTTTAAATAAACCCCATCTGCTTGGAGTCGACTCTTCACAACATCCATGGGAGTTGCTGTCCCCCAGGAAATTGCCCCTGCAGAGAAAGAGAGAAAGGCACAAGTGTTAGGGTTTGGCTTTCTGGGGTACAGAGGGGCCTGGCTCCCTTAGGGTTTCTATCAGTCTAAACTTCTTAAGCTGCTGAGGGCAGTGGATGGAGCTTGGGATTAGGTTGCACAGAATCCATTTCCGACCCTTCCTTGCACTAGGGGGCTCAGCAAGTCTACCTCCTCTGAGCTTGGGACCCTACATCTTGTAAAATGGGGTGCAATGCCCCTTCCCCAAGTCCACTGTGAGGAACAATGACCTGATATCTGAGAAAACTCCAGCATGGCCCAGTGCTGGGCACATGACAGCATTACTTGTGAGATAGTCACAGCTCCCACAGTACCCCTCAGCACCTCCCTATGGCATGAGAAGTGAGCCCAGGGTGAGGCTGCTGCTGAGGGTGTGCTCTCCCAGGGGCAGGCTTTTCTTTGAACATGGAGAAGCTAAACAAGCACACGCAGACAGGCTGCTCACCAAGGATTAACAAAACATGACTAGGGACTGGATTTTTATTTTTTAAATCTCTTTTCCAAATATGTAGAAGAGAATCTGGGAACCACATACCCCTGGGTCATCCTCATTGGTTATGCTCAGGTCCCTTAGTTTGAGCATGTTCATGACTTTAAAGGATTCTAGGAAAACAAGGCCACCTTGTTGTATAAACACAGGAATTCTTGGGTGGAGAGAGAAAGCAAATCACTGTCAAAGTCCAGGACAATTGGTTTGCTAGGTTTTGTAATCAGTGCCCTGCAGGTCCCAAAAGAGAACTTGGCTTTCTCTGGGCCCTCTGATACTGCTGATCTCCAGGCTCCCCAGCCTCCTGCGCATGAGCCCTAGGAACCTCTTTGCAGAGGGAATCCCCTTCTCCTCTGCCAGGATAACAGGCCGCTGCGTTCTCAGTTGCAGCCCCAGGGCCCTCTCCCATCCCTCAACCTCATCAGGGGCATCACAAAATGTGATGTGCCAACCAGACCACTTGCACCTGATCTCAGCAGAGGGAACTTGGTGTCCTCTCAGCTAATCAGTGTTTACTGGACTCTGAGTGGGAGCAGGCTGGGGACAGACCTCCAATACATGAGGGCACAAGGGAACACTAGTGTTTGGTGGCTAAGACTGGACTTTGTTCAACATTTGGTATGAGTTTAAAGCATAACTATTTCTGATGAAAGTAAGGAGAATGAAGAGTACAGATTGTCTTCTCTGGGCTGAGTCTTTTCGATTAGCATCACACATGTGACATCAGCCTTCTTAAAAAGCAATTTTTGCTTGACTTTCTTTTTTTTTTTTTTTTTTTTTCTCTTGACTTTCATAGGCTCCTCTGACCATAACTTCAGTTCTCAATTTTTTATTACAGCACAGAAAAAATCCTCAGATGTGTTGTATATACTTGAAGTCTCCAGTTTCTTTCATGTTATTCTCCCATGTTCCCATTTCAGTCAGACTTTCAACTCCCTTCTCTCCACTGAAATGACTCTCATAGAAGTCCCCAGTGACCTCTATGTTATTAAATCCAAATAGTGTGTTAGCAAGTACTAAGGCCCTGAGGTGAAGAAAGAGCAGGGCATGGCCAGGTTGTAGTAAAGAGAACATTATGGCTGGAGCAGGGGGAGTAATGAGGTGAAAGGATAACTGAGAGCCAGATCAGAGAGGGCCTGGGAAACCGTTGAGGGGATGTCCTAAATGAAATGTGAGTGACCTGCAGGATTCTGTATAAGGAGATTAGGCAACAAGAGTATGGTCACAGAATGAGCCAATTTGTAATTGAACTTGGGTCTCTCTGACTTCAGAATCCCTGCTGCACTGTTTGTAGCTGTAGGACCTTGGGCTGGTTACTTAGTATCCCTAAACCTCAAATGTTGTAGCTGTAAAATGGGGAGATTGATTCCTACCTTATAGGCCTAATGAAATCTACATAGTAAAAAGTTCAACACACTGGCTTGGCCTAGGCAGGACCCCAGTGACCCAGCAAAGCCATGGCAGGGGCACACATGATGGACAGACGTGACCAGTGTAGTGAAAAGTCCAAACACTGAGAATACAAGACAGTAGTTGGTATGTGAGGTGAACCAGGGGTTGTGCTCCACACACAGACATACAGAATAGAAGTGGTGGGTAGACCCACCATTTTATATTAAAGAGCTCAGGGACATTTCCAGCAGCAGAAGACCAGTCCTGGCCTCCATATCCAGAGGCCAAGACCAACCCCATGCCCAGCACAAATCCAGTGCAAACTTGGCTGGAGTTCACAACACATTTCTGGGATCTGACTTCAACCTACCACAGAACTATAGACAAAAAAGGAATAGTTTTTCTTTTTCTGTCTAGTTGGGTTTTCTTTTATCTTTTTTTGTGGTGATTTTGTTTTTCTACCTCTTTCATTCTTTCTTTCTTTCTTTTCTCTTTCTTTCTTTCTTTCTTTCTTTCTTTCTTCTTTCTTTTTGTAGTACTAGGGATTGAACTCAGGACCTTGTGCTTGCCAGGTAAGCACTTATTCCATTGAGCTATCTCCCTGGGCCCCCTTTTATCTTTCTCTCATGACTTAGATTTCTTACCTTTCTGTTTTCTTCTACTCAGCTTCTTTTTCTTTTCCTCAATCGTTCTGCTTGATTTTATGATACTTTCATGGGAGTTAATATTACCTCTTCTCTTTCTGGTTCATATCAATACTCATTTACTTTCTCTTCCGTTCTTTCCCTTCCTTTGCCCTCCAGCCTTGTGCCTACAATACTGGACCTCATTCATCTCTCTATCTTGGCCTATATATCTCTTAACCCACCCCTACCATCACAATAGAGTAAAATCACTCCATTGGATAGATTTTGTTACATAACTATAGAATTTGCTCCCATGGTTAAATATATCAAGTTAATAGTTACCATAATTTGTCAGTAGTCAGGCTGGGCTTGAGACTATAGTTATTGCTAACTGTACAACTTTAACCAGGATGTCCTGTTTTTCTGTCTTGTATAACAACACTGTGATTGTATGTGGTTGTAACATCACAGTCCAGTACCAAAAGACCTGGTACTAAGCCAAATAAATAGCAACTTCTCACCCTCAATACATCTGCAAGTAGGTTCTTGGGATAGACACAAAGACTAAGAACCACTCACATCTAGAAGATAGCCCAGAGGAATACATATTTCCTGGGGAAGAATTGATACTAGGGATAATTCTACCTCCAATAAGAAATCTACAAGCATCAATACAGAAAACAAAATAAAATTTAAAAAATAGAACAGGGAATGACAAGATACAAAAGCAAAATATAATCCCAGAACCCCAGCCCACTCAAGACAAGTTCAGAGCACAGTGAGACAGAAGAAATTGGAAGCCAACCATTGAAACTATCAGAAATAATAACAACAGTAGTGAAAAAGTAAATGGAAGAGACATGTCCTGATCCTCATGGGTTCTCTGTTGACTTTGACAATAAATTTGGAGAAGAACTAATGCACTAAAGCTGAAACTTTCTAATAAAACTGAATGGGAAGCAATATTCCTAAAATTATTCTTGGAAGAAAGTATTACCCTGATACCAAAACCAGACAAAGACCCGACCAAAAAAGAAAACAACAGACCAATTTCCCTAATGAACATAGATGCAAAATTCCTCAAAAAATACTGGAAAATACAATGCAGGAGATCATCAGAAAGATTATACACCATGACCAAGTAAGATTGATCCCAGAGAGGCAAGGATGGTTCAACATTTGTAAATATATAAATGTTATACATTACATTAATAGAGTCAAAGACAAAAAAAATCACAGATCATCTCAGTAGATGTAGCAAAAGCATTTGACAAAGTCCAACATCCATTCATGACCAAAAAAACCCCACAGAAAATTGAAATAGATGGTCTTTATTTCAATCTGATGAAAGCCATCTATGGCAAACGAACAGCTAACATCATACTGAATGGTCAAAAGTGGAAAACTTCTACTCTAAATTTCAAAACAAGACAAGGATGTTCACTATCACCGTTATGATTCAGTATGGTTCTGGAAACATTATCCTGGGCAATTAAGACAAGAGAGAGAAATAAAAAGAATAACAATAGGAAAGTATGAGGTTAAATTACCATTATTTTTGAATGACATTATACTGTATTAGAGCCTAAAAGCAACTCTACCAAAGAACTTCTAGATTTAATAACCAAATTCAATAGTATATCTGGACACAAAGTCAAAACTCAAAAATCAAACAATATGCTTATATACAAACAAAAACTTCACTAAGATAGAAATTAGAGAAACCACAGCCTTCACAATAGTATCTAAAATAGCTCAGCAGATTAAAGTGCCCGCAAGCAGGCTCAAGGGCCAGGAGTTCAATCTCTGGGCCTGCCATGCCTGCTCTGCCCCCAGGGCATGTTGAGCAGTAATTGAGACTGGATGTGGTGGCGTGCGCCTGTAATCCCAGCTCTTGGGAGGCTGTAAACAGGAGAATCACTATGAGTCCAATCTAGTAGTGAGACCCTGAACACCCTGTGGACCCTTTCAAAAAATATAGAAAAAAATGAACAATAGCATCCAAAAATAATGAAATACTTGGGAGTCAATCTAACAAAGGAAGTGAAAGATATACACATTGAAAATTAAAATATCTGAAAGAGGAGATCAAAGAGGATATCAGACAAGGGAAAGATATCCCCTGTTCATGGATAGGAAGAACTAACAGTGAAAATGGCCATACTCCCAAAATTGTTATACAGATTTAAAGCAATCCAAATCAAATACCATTATTATCACAGAACTAGAGAAACAGTCCTAACATTCAATTGAAATAAGAAGATACCTAGGATAGCAAAGACAATTCTCAGACATCAAAAGTAAGGCACGAATTATTACAATTCCTGACTTGAAATTATACTACAAAGTGATAAAATCAGCATTATACTGGCAAAAAAAAAACTTAAACAAACAAAAAGCAGATCTGAGGATCAGTGGGACAAATGAGAGGATATAGACACAACTATAAACACACTCAGCCACCTTATCTTTGATAGAAGCCAAACACGTTCACTAGAAGAAAGATAGCCTTCAATAAATTGTGCTGAAAAAATTGGCTTTCCACATGCTAAAGACTAAAACTTGACAGATGTTTTTCACTATGCACTAAGCTAAAATCCAAATAAATCCAAGATCTAAATATTAAAACAGAAACACTAAATCTGCTGGAAGAGAAAACAGGTAGAAATCTTGAAGACATAAGTGTAGGCACAGCGTTCATGAGGAAAACCCAGATCACATGGGAAATACTACAAAGAATCAACAACTGGAATCTCATCCTATTTAAAGATTTTGCACAGCAAAGTAATCACCAACAGAATGAAAAAAAAATCCACAGAGTGTGAAAGAATTTTGGCTAACTGTCCCACAGGCAAAGGACTTAAATGCACAACATACAAAGAATTGAAAAAATCGGACAAAATTTAAAAACTCAAAAACATCTCAAATGAATACATACTTCTCAGATGAAGAAATACAAATAGCAAATAAATACATGAAAAATGTTCAACATCATTAGTTATTCAAAGAATGACTATCATAAGTCAATCAACCAGTAGCAAATACTGGTGGGGCTGTGGGGAATGGACAATCCTTTTCCACTGGGTTGGTAGGAGTGTACACTGGTGTTACTACTTTGGAAATTAATCTGAAGAATGCTCACAAAACTCAGATTAGAGTTCTTATTCAAACCAGCTATTACCCTTCTGGGTGTCCTACCAGAAGAATTAAAAACATCTTACCTCAGCAATATATGTGCATTCGTGTTTACAGAAGCACAATTTGAACAGTTTCCGTAGTGTAGTGGATATCACGTTCACCTCACAGAAGCACAATTTGTAATAGCTAAATCTTGGGCACAACCCAAATGCCCATCAACTGAGCAATGGATAAAAAAGCTGTGTCCTTTTTTGTACAATGTAATATTACTCAGCCATAAAGAAAGATAACCTTGAGGCATTTATAAGTAAATAGAAGAAAATTGAGACTATATTCAAAAGTGAAATAAATCAGACTCATATGTGTAAACATTGCATTGTATCCCTGATGTGAGAAACTAAAAGAGTAAATAAGGACAAAAATGTACAAAAGATATTGACATATGGAAATAAACTGTTCAAAAGGGAAGAGGAACTAGGGTGGGGAAAAGGGGAAAGGAAAGTCACTGCTCTGGATTTCCACCCACAGCTGGCTGTGAAGACAGAAGGGAGAAATAAAATAGCAAGTGACCCAGGAGAGCAAAAGACTACCATCTTCTGGCACTGCAGCCAGCCTAGCTCAGTGATAGTACCCCCTACAGCCCATCAGCTTCCATCAGAAAGGAAAAAATCACAAGTTTATAATACTACTTTTTTGGCTTAGTTCTTTGACAAAAGAGGTTTAAGCTAATATTGTTTGGAGAATTTTTTATACCCATATCTTGTCCTCAGAATAACTATTTTGAGATAGCAATATGCAATGTATTAAGTATTATTATTCTCCTATTATTTTTCTATGAAATTTTGTTTTATTATTTCCATGAAACAACATAAAAAAATTAAATATTCATGGTGTAAGCTTTTGCATGTAAAATAAGCAGCAAAATACAAAATAGGTAAATAGTAAGTACAGGAATCTTATCCAGATGGATAGGACAATAAGAGATGGAGAAAGGGGGAGGAAGGAAAGGAAAACAATAGGGAAAGAAAAGAACTGAAGGAAAAAATGAAAATAGAGATTTTTCAAATGGGGAGGGGACCAAGAGTTGGAAGGTGCAGGGAGGCAGGGGAAGAGTAGGGACAAAAGAAAGAAATAAAGGAATTAAAATGTGTTACATACAGGTGCTAATAAATGTAATCATTAAGTACTGCAAACATGTACTCATAAAAAAATAACAAAAGAAAGGTAGCCAGTATACCAACGTTCATTAAAGATGAATGATGGAAACAGATTTCCTTCACAAAGTTCACCCCTGCTTCCTGGAAGGCCCATGAATCCCCAGAGACTGCATCCCATAGCTCCACAGGGAAGGGGATGACAGAACCAGGGACTATTCCCCATTCCTAGCCCTTCCTGTGCCTGTCTAGATCAGGCATGGAGTAAGGACTTCTGGTGTATGTGTGGCTGCAGGAGTCTGCCTCCCCGAGAGCTGAGAAGAGCCGGCAGGCTTTGCCCTTGCTCCACCGCAATGGCTGCCCAAGTGTAGGGCTCCAGACACTTCTGCCCTTACCTGCCACCCCGCCTGCCAGCAACATAGTGCAGGGGCTGGGGCCTGCGCGGGCCTCAGGTGTGATCCACTCAGTCAGAAACACATAGGGGATAAAGTAGAGGCAATATCCTGGGACGTCTCTCAGCAGCATGGCACTGGCACCCCGGTACAAACCAGACAGGCCCTCACTCCGTACAATGGTTGCAATGCAGTGTACCGGCCCCTGGTACGCTGGCTGCTCACCAAAAGCTACTGCTCTGGATTTCCAACCAAGGCTGGCTGTGAAGACAGAAGGGAGAAAGAAGACAGCAAGTGACCCAGGAGAGCAAAAGATTACCATTTTCTGGCGCTGCAGCCAGTCTAGCTCATCAACTATATCCCATTAGTTTCCATCAAAATGTCTGATCTTTTTGGCAGCTCGTACTAGGATTTTGAAGTCCCGAAGGGAAGCCTCTGCCAACCTACACAGGCAAACTGGAGATAATTCAAGGCAGGTAAAAGGCACAAGTTGCCTTAGGATACCCAGAACTTTCTGGACAATCATCACTACAGCTTTTTAAGCAGAAACAACTGTAGAATCCCTAGGATCAATTATGACAAGCCACACCAAGCTCTTTCTTGAAGATGTTGGAAAATCTTGTGTGCGTGTGTATGTGCAGACTGTGTGTTTTCATGTGCATACACATATGTGTGCACACCTATATCGAGTGTGATAAAAATATGAGATTTAAGGCTGTCCTAGCTTCACCACTTAGCAATTTTGACCCTCTTGGGTCAGCATTTTTAGAATTGATTTCTTTATCTTTAAAAGGGGAACAGGTGGCCATCAGTATCACTGAGTTCACACATATTAAGTGTTCATTGTGGTGGGGGCTCAGTAACTGATGAACAGATTGTGGCTACTGAGAGCAAAGTGGCTGATATGAGTTGGATTCAGGGCCCGATGACTCAAAGACCAGTATGCTCTCCTTGACTCATTCTAGCCCTGGGTAGGCCATACCCTAAAACAGCTGTCAGATGGCACCAAAACCAATGTCTCATCTAAGTCTGGGCTCTGCAGACTATGGTCTCTTTCTGACCTTGGGTCTAGGCCACCAGATTATAGTTTATTTGGGCAGCTTCTTGAAGCAGGGGGATATAGCCCACAGAGATTTTTCTCTCTCATCGTTAGACCTCCTTCTTGCTATGCCTGAGGCTCCTTTTCTCTCCTGCTTTGGGCCATCGGCACAGCTTTAGCCCCTGTTCAGAAAGACCTCCCAGTCCTAGTGCACAAAATGTGACTCTTGTTCTCAGCACTCCCTTCTCAGAGAACTACCATGACACAGGTGGGCAAGACACAGAATAAACTATGTCTGCAACCACAAGCCTACTTTGCCACCTGGGCCTTGTTCTCTGCATACAGAGTCCCAACTTGGTTTTATACATTCTGCAAACAGGCAGAAGTTGCCTTTCATTGTATATAGTTGGACTTCCAAGTCTCCCAAAGAGTTCTGACTTTTTCAGATGAAAGTTTAGGATAAACTATTCACAACTCCATAGTCCCAACTGGGTATTTGGGAATAGAAGAAAATATGCACTTAAAGTCTTCCCAGAAGTCTGTGAGGTGGGGGTGGTGGGTTTCAATATGCCTAGGAAAGGTGCTTGAACCAACTTCTTCTGTATCTCCATCGTTCTGGAGGGAAAGGAAGGAACCTTTCCATCCATACTTGGCCCAAACCATCACAGGAAGGAAACTGAGTCTTGAACCTTACTGCTTGCACAGTACATCCCACAGTAGAAATGAAAGTCACAGTGTGGGGGGGGTGCAAGTCTCCTCTGAGCAAGACCAGACATTGTGGCCCTTGAAAGTCCATTAAGAGATCATCATACACTCCTTTCTTCCTCAAACCCATGAAGTCACCCAGGGTCACCAGGGAAGTTTTGCCATCAGACAGATTTGCGGTCGTTGTCCCACCGTCTAAACTTTGTCTGGGCTGCTTTCACCACCAGTAACACTGACCTTAATGGGAGTCAAGGTTTTCATGAATCAGCTATGATACGTTATGGCTTTCAGGAGTTACTGACTGGAAACGATTGTTTTGTTCAGAGGTGCAGATGTTAAAAAACATTAGTTAGACTGCCTACTGGCCTTGTCAACAAAAATATCCATTATTTTTTTCCTTTTCTTTCAAAGGTAAGCAATAAGGAAATTTTCTTTACCTTTCTAAGTATGTAATATAAACAATATAGCTTTTATTGCTCAAGAATGACCCATTTGTAACTATTAAACCAATATGATTGTGATGGGTGCTGACCCAGGATGACACAGCTCTGTGCTGACCCAAGTTCATATTATTGTGTTAGTCAGCTTTCCATCACTATAACATAATTCTTGAGAGAAAAGGTTGATTTTTGCCTGAGTGGGGGAAATTCCTTTTCATGGTCCATTTGTCCCATTATTTTGGGTCTGTGGCAAGGCAGGCAGCACGATGGGAGCGCATGGCAAAGCAAATCTGCTCATCTTATTGGTCAGAGAGCAAAAGAGAATGAAGAATGGGATGGGATTCCAATATTCCCTTCCAGGGCACATCCTCAGTGACCTAAAGACCTCCCATTAGGCCCCACCTTCTAAAGGTTCTCTTGTTTCCAATAGCACCAACCTAAAATCCAAACTTCTAATGTATGGGTCACTGGGGGCTACTTATTCAAGCCATAGCAACTGCAAGATCCTTGAAACTCCTTTCAGCTGCCTCATCCCTTCCTACTATGGGTAGGACATGACCTTAAGGGGTTACTGACTGAGAGGCAATGTCCTGATCAGATGTCCTTTGGATGGAGGTACGGATGTTGAAAAGCACACGTCAGCTAAACTTGCTTTGTCAACAATCCCTAAATGAGAACCAAGCCTGTGCTTTTTCACTGTCCTTCCAAAGACAAATAATAAGGAAATGCTTTGCACATGCAAACATATATTTGTGCATATTTCAGAATTATTTTTAAAGAGAATAAAAACTAGTAAAAAAGAAACAATACATAATTTCACTAAACACGTTGATAGGAATTCAATAATGGTTATTATATTGCATATTGTTGTCTTCAAATTGGTGGTTCAGATTACCAGATATAAGCATGTAAAATTGGTCAAGAAAATCAAGAGGAAGGAAAAAAATTAAAATTTTAAAATTTTATTCCTTTCAATAGACCAGAAAAAAATCAGCAGTACCATTATCCAAGCTATCTTGTGCACATACATATATATTTTAACTTTTTCTTCTTTCTTTTCTCCTTCCCTCATCCTAGTTGTTTCCTCCCTTTGAATAGTGTCTTTTAACTTCACAGTATCTATTGTACCTTTTGGATTTCATTTACTCTTTCAGGTTCTTACACTAGGGAGAAAATATGATGCTTACATATGCAGATCTGATTTAGTTCACTTATGAGTATGGCATCCAGTTGTCCCATTCAACTTAGCTATTATCCTCCTGGGTATTTTTCTAGAAGAACTGAAAACATCATACCACAGTGATAGATGTGCATCCGTGTTTACAGCATCACAATTTGTCATAGCTAAATCTTGGAAACAACCCAGATGCCTATCAACTGAGGAATGGATAAAAGAGATGTGGTATCTTTACACAATGTAGTATTACTCAGCTATAAGAAAAGATAAACTCAGGGCTTTTATAGGTAAATGGATGAAACTAGAGACATATATTTTTATCATGTACATACATCTTATTTTCTGAACTACTACGGGTGAGTTATATACATCATGGTTCTTTAGCCCTAAATCCTTCTGAATATATCTTCTAAGAGAAGAAATGTCTAAAAGTAACCATAATAGAATTGCTCATCTCACACATCTACATTAGAAATACTTTTTTAAATCAGATCTGCTATCATTTTCATTTGAATATATACAAAAT